CGTGACGCGACAAAATGAACGCCGGCGAGCACGCGCACCGCATCACGTCGACGAAATGTGTTGACGCCTTGACTGTGCATGTAGTCATGTTCTCACATGACACGCATCTCATGATTATCATGTTTGCACCAGTCACATACCTTTGTTATTCATTGACGTCATGTAATACCAAATTTGGCATATGTGAAGCTAGCGAAACGGCCGCGAGCGCATCATGAGTGAGGCATGTAGTCATATTGTTACACGACTCGCATGTCATGATTATCATGTTTGGATGTGTCGTTACCTTCGTCATCTATTCACATCACTTGATACCAAATTTTGAGTATGTGGAGCTAGTGAAACGGCCAAGAGCACGTATGAGCATGGTATGTTGTCATGTTCTCACATGACAGGCGTGCCAGGATTATCATGCTTAACCAGCCATATACTTTCGTCATCCATTGACGTCATAACGTAACACCAAATTTGGTATATGTGGAGCTAGCGAAACGGCCGCGAGTGCGTCAGAAAGGGCCCATATACTCCAACGTAGCGTTGACGCGCGCGCACGCTGGGCACAGCGACGCTACGTTAGCAAAACGTGAGCACTCTATAGTCTGACGCTAGGCGCGACCAGCGTCCGTCAGCGCGGCCCAACGCGGTCGCGCGGTCCAACGCGCGGCCCAACCTGCGCGAAATGCGACATGCTGCATTTCGCGCCGATGCGTTACCGAGAAAATACTGCGTTACCCTCTTTTCGTTACAGAGGGACGCCGGACGCGCTGAAACGCGCATGCGTCAAAGCAACGCAGTGCGGCGCGCGCCTGCGAGTATACGATAGGACCGGCGCTTGGCGTGGCAATGCCGGCGTGACGCGACAAAATGAACGCCGGCGAGCACACGCACCGCATCACGTCGAAATGTGTGTGACGCCTTGACTGTGGCATGTAGTCATGTTCTCACATGACACGCATCTCATGATTATCATGTTTGCACCAGTCCATACCTTTGTCATCCATTGACGTCACGTAATACCAAATTTGGCATATGAAGTTAGCGAAACGGCAGCGAGCGCATCATGAGTGAGGCATGTAGTCATATGTTACACGACTCGCATGTCATGATTATTACGTTTGGATGTGTCATTTACCTATGTCCTCCGTTCGTGTCGCGTAATACCGAGTTTGGTACATGTGAAGCTATAGCGAAACGGCCGCGAGCGCACCATGAGCGTAGCACGTAGGCATGTTGTACGTGACACGCATCTCATGTTTATCATGTTTGCACCAGTATCATACCTTCGATATCCACTCAAGTCCCATAATACCAAATTTGGTATATGTGACGCTAGTGAAAAGGCCGCGAGTGCATCATGAGCGTGGCTTGTAGTCATGTTGTTACATGACACGCATGTCATGAATTTCATGTTAGGGTCTGTTGCTTGTGTTCGGCATGCAATAATGTCATATCACATCAGTTTTGCAACATGCCATGTGACCGCAACAGCTGCAAGAACATGAAATGTAAATCATGGCATTCATGACATATATGGATTTTCTTGTTATGACTAGACAAATATGTTCTTCATACGGTCATGTTATGCCATACCAAGTTGGTATCGATACCATTACCGAAACGGCCAGGTGAGCTAGAAGTCGTAGGCAGCTAGATAGATAGATAGATAGATAGATAGATAGATAGATGATAGATAGATAGATAGATAGATAGAATAGATAGATGATAGATAGACAGACAGACAGACAGACAGACAGACAGACAGACAGATAGATAGATAGATAGAGATAGATAGATAGATATAGATAGATAGATAGATAATAGATAGATAGATAGTAGATACGCTCAATGTCGCCGAAATTCACTAAGAAATGCTTCGCATTTAAAAAGAAACAGATATCAGAAAAATATAAAGAAACGATGCAGGCCGCTCAGCTCCACTCTTGATGCTTGGCCCCACTAGTGCAAAGATGGCTTAATGTTTTTCTCCTTGTTTTTCCTTTTTTGGGGGACGAGCTTACTTTTCTACTACATTTTCGAGGTTAGGTTGGGTGAAAGTGGGGAAGGCGTACATAAACACGCTGTGAAGGAAGGCAGTTGCCACTTTCCTTTCTGACAAACCTATACACAAGCCTTCGCGAAGAAGCGTACGCTCTAGTGACAGTTTCTGTTCAACGATTTTTATTTCACCGCCATAATTTCGCCCCGCTCCCACGAAATAACGTTGTTTTTGTTTACGAAACAAACAGGCAATCGGGATATACCACTCACACGCTCCAAATTCCTCCTGCACGTTGGAGTAGGAAGGTGAGGCAAGCGATGTAGCGCGGGATATTTATTCTTCGAGTATAGAGGCGCATTGCGGAGCTATGTTCGTGGACAACATACACTAAACGGAGGGTGCGTGGTTCACGTTGCGTGAGTTCTTCGGTTACCGTAACAGGTGTGCGTGCGTGCCTAGACTATTCGCGTTCGCACGTGACGTACCCCGTCCCATCCCTGCTACTTGACTGCGCTCGGCCCCGCCTCGTCACGGTGACGTCACCATCGTATTTTACTGGAAAATTACAGAGGCAACTCTTGTGCCGTTGCTCCGACTTTCATAGATCAGCGCAACGTGCTGCGCACCAAACGGGTGTACCGGGAAACTAAACCATATAGAAGAAGGGCGGGTCGACATATGAGTTTCTGTAAGACAGTGTCAGGTGCTCCCGCATCTCGCCACACTCTGCACGATCAGGGTGTCAGGGGTCATTCCTTTCACTGACGTCAAGCGTACAAACAAGTTTCAACAACGAAAAAAAGAAAAAAAACATCATAAATCTCTTTGTGCAGTTCGCCATTGCCGTACACCTGTCCAAGTTTATAAAGCCCATGGTGTACCTTCGCTCTTACAATTGCGACCGTACTCGCGGCACCACATTCAACACACGAAGTGCTCTTGCACTACGTACGAAGAGACACTGCTGCACGGAACTGTCGACACGCTGAGTGAATCTGGTTGCCTTCAAAACAAAAGCGATTCGGACACGCGCCACTCGATGTGCGCACGCGATCCTTGTGACATCCGCGTTTCGTGTTGTCGTTTGGACGCGCTTGGCTGCGGATCGTCCGAGCGGCGACCGCGTTTCCCCGTTCCTTCACCGGCCACGCACGGCGCCATGTCCAGCGCACATTTGTACTGCGGGCGCGAAGTGTATGACTTGCTACAGCGTCATGACTCCCGCGACGGTAAACATTTTGACGGGAATGATTGACCGCCTACTCGAGTTCCTCATTGCCGTGGACCAAGCGCTCGATGCGAGTTCTTCGGCACATGCCGTAGGGGACCCGGCTCTTTTTCGAGCGAAGTCTTTACAATGAATATAAGTGCAGGAGGAACCAGTACATTATGGGAACTCGCTTGGTGGATTCCGTGCTGAACTGTTGTGTCGTCCGCGGTCTCCTAGGCGTCAACGCAGCTCTCGCCAATCGGACCACCGCCCGCAAACTCCCGAAGCCAGTAGCTCTCGCCGAGCAGTGCCCGTCCTCGGACTCCATCGACCGTGTCCCCATATTTTTCTTTTCTCTGTTTACTTCTGACTATATCCTTTTTAATCCCTCCTTATCCCCTTCCCTCGTGAACTACTGCTGGGTTGTCACACTTAGCTGCAGTTAGTTGTGGGGCTCAATTTCCCGTTCTTTTCTCCTGTTTTCCGACCCCTCCCCCATCCTCTCCCGCCAGTAGAAATACGCCCCCATCGAAGTTTGGGCACAGCAACCAGGAATCGCAGGCCCCTCATCGCATTATGCTGCCGAATGTTTGGGTCGATGTTGATGCAAAGCAGCAAAGTTTCCTTTTCTTGTTTAATTTCATTTGTTTAACACTAAGTGTTCATAAGTACAGCGCTCATAACATGAAGGAAAGGGGGAGTGAGGCGCATACATGAATGAAGACACAAGAAGGGATCGACACTAACAGATTAGATCGGGTGGAGGGCACAGGAAAAGCAATATATATATATATATATATATATAATATAATATATATATATATATATATATATATATATCTATTATATATATATATAATATATATATATATATATATCTAATATATAATATATATATACGTCAGGCCCAGCTGTGCGGGAAGACTATCAATGCGACACGGCACGCCTGTTCGATGCGTGTACATCCGGAGCCGGAGGGCACCATCGCGGCATCCTTGCGTCGTTGTGCCAAGATTGGGAATTTCGCGTATTAGCGTACGCCGAAGGCTGGTGGCTACAAACAGCACAATGACCTCGGCTACACGTGCTACACGGGAAAGATAGAAAGAGGCGTATGAGAATAAAAAAGCTGGCGTTGGAAGCGTGAGAAGCACTGGCATCCGTTAAGGAGCAAGAAAACAAGATAGCACTACTAAGCGGCGTCTCTTTTAGTTAGTGATGCGCTTATTTCCCCATAATGTTTACCAGCCAGCACTATGCATACGTATGACTAAGGCACCTGTGGAAAGAGCCGATGTTCGCTGTTCTTCGTATGCTACAAACTATTTTACGGATGGGTTTGAGTGCCGCGATATTGCACTGTTAACATTTGTGTTTTGCATTTTCACACAGCTAAATGAACAGTGTTGAGGTAGACGCAAGCGCATGAAATGGTTAGGTTGGTGGTACGATGTCTCCTGACCTTATTCATCTCGCGCCGCGATATACGAAGAAACGTCGGCTCAACAGCCGAAGATGGTGGTGCCCACACCGTCTTACGAAAGATAGTCTATACGTTAACGCAGCGTTCTTTTTTGCCATATTTCTCTTTCTTTTTTTTTTTCAAATGAGACCACTTTTTATCAACAGCGTTTTCGGCCATGCCGTGAAGTGTTTGCAGGGCCCCTTTAAGGGTCCTTCGCAATCGGATGGCGGACATGTTTTTTTCTTTAACAAGTTTACAGCAATTGCATATATAGCGTAACTAGTTAATATTTCTACGACGGCAGTCACTTATGCGTGTTGTCTCACCTCTTAGCCACCGGAGGCAGTAATAGTCGTCATCGTCGTTGTTCAGCAGTCTTTGCACACCTCCCGGAACTGTAAACGGAAAGAAGTTATATAAACGTCATTTTCAGGGCATAGCACTGATAGATGCTCTGATCGTTTCTACGTGTTTCT